TGGGGAAATCTAGAAATCAAAAGCAACCGCCGAGATGCAGAAACCCTTCTTCACCATCCACTTCCTCCGACTCCGCCGAAAACCTTCCAAGACAGATCCTCCGTTTCCATCGCCATATCCACCTGTCCTTTTGACGTTGTGCAGTCGTCAATTTTGGTTTGCGACGGACGGAGCGAGCGAAGGAGGAAGGGAGAGTAGGGTCGGGATTGGGTGTTGGGGTCGTCGGAAGGAATTGAGGAGATGGGTAGGGAGTGGGAGTGGCAACGGCAACGTAGGAAGCTATTCCGACAAGGCTTGGCGACGGCGGCGGCTGGACTTGGCGACAATTGGTTTGAGAGGTGGGAGGGAAGGGGTGATGAGTTGGATTTGACAGTGAAAGGAAAAATGGCGAGAGAGTTGGATTAGACGACGGGAGAGGAGGGTCGGAATCGGAGTCGGGGGTTTTGGAGCTCGTCGACGCCGGCGACTTAGACGATTTGATTGAGAAATAGAGGAGGAGTGGTTACGGTGGGGGGAGAAGGGTGGATGGTGGTGCCGACACTGGAGAGATGGATGGATTGGAAAGAGAAAAAAGAAAGAAAATAAAGGAAAACAGGACACGAAACACATCCAAAGCCACTTTTTGACGTTTCTCCAATTTGGGCCCGGTTGTACAACTGCGTTGCACAACAAAAGTAAAAAACCCAACTGAACATATTTTTTTTCCTTGGTTTTCACAATTCTTAAAAGCACAACAGAAATCAGAAACAAGCAACAATACTAAACGGGCCCTAAGCAACTCAAAGTTGATAACGAATCAGTGACGGGCTTAAGCCTAGGAGTCACGATCCAAAGCTATAACCGGAGATGCCACACACATACTTGTCTCTTCTCTAAACCACAACCACCAACTAGGGTAGCACTATTATGGCCATGTGCTGATCCTATTTCATGAGCATTCACAAAAGTTGACCTCTACTTTTGTTAGAGCGGCACCACTCTAAATGCTCACATAGGTGACATTCCAAATGAATTCATTAAGAGTTCTATAACTCATCTCAAGAGTTCTATAACTCACCCTTCTCTGGACTAATTTACTTGTACAATAAATTAGTGCCTCTGTTAGAGTAACTTGTTATTACCACATTGAACCTTTTAATTAGTGAATACCTAAATAAAAGGTTGGTTTCCCGTTACTCCTAACTACACAAAAAGGTCTTAATCCCATCCCTTGGGATGTCTCATAGATCATGCCTCTTGGCTATCCCTTGGCAAGAGGATCTGCCAAATTATTGCTTGATCTTACATACACAATAGAAATGATTACATTAATAATCAAATATCTAACGTAACCATGTCTTAGGCTATTATGTCTAGACTTACGATTGTAAATCTTGCTATTAGCTTTAGACAAAGTAGCCACACTATCACAATAGACAGAAATGGCTAACATCGATTGTGGCCACAACTCTTTATCTAACAACATGTTTCTTAGCCATCTGCCTCTTTTCCAGCCACCGGAAGGGCTAGAAATTCATCTTCCATGGTGGAGTGTAATACACATTCGTTTCTTTGAAGCCCAAGAAATTACTCCACCACCTAGTGTAAAAATCTACCTGTTGTAGATTTATTTCACTAGCACTTTTTATTCAACTAGCATAAAAAACATCTCCCCCACAATTCTTCCACCGAACTATCATGGAATAATTCCATTTTATTTTCCATGGTTTTACTTATTGAACTTTCAACCACTACATTGATCTAATTGTTTACCAATGATATGAACTAATTAGATCAGTATACCACAAACAATTCAGATATTATTAGAAATATCATCTAATTACTTACCAATGGAATTGGTCAAGGTAACTTGAGATGCCACAAGTAATTCAGTTGCATTTCCAGATTGTATATGAAATACCATCTAATTACTTACCAATGACTTATCATCAAGGTAACTGGACATACCACAAGCAATTCAAATGAATATTCTAAGTCAACGGTCTAATTACTTACCAATGGTATACACTTCATAATATACCATAAGTAGTACAGACTTTGAGTTCAATAAGATCATCTCAATTGAGTTCTCATGCCAAATTGTTTGCCAATGGTATATGATTATATTACATATACCATAAACAATTCTGACCAATAGCTTCACATAATAATCATACGTCAAATTGTTTTCCAATGGTATAGTATACATATACCATAAACAATTCTTACCATATATTTTATCTTGATGACCACCATTATTTAGCAAGCTTATTCAATCTTAGCTTCATTTTCCTTGCCCTCATGGCATAGGAAACATAACGTCCGAAACCATATACATGATAAATAAATATCATGCCTCCACAAGCATCGTAGAAATTATAATTTCTTATCGCTTGTGGCTTTCTCGTAATGCAATTCTTTAGCCATGCATTAACCAAATTACATCTCCACCGCATTGGAGGTATACTTTTTCATACTATGTTCGAACTTACTTTGAACATAACGTTTGCAACCATTCCGGCTTAGATAGACTTGATTCACAAATCCCCACTAACCTCGCGACATAGGTTTTACATACCTATGATTGTTCATTTTCCCCACTAGATAGTTTACTACTGTCCAACCCATCTTTACTTATATTCCATGAAGGGCTATCTTGAATATACTCGATTCATAATATGTAGGACATGTTATCATATCGGGGTATAGGTTCTTCTATCCTCTCATGCATCACAATAAATGATCCAATATCCAAATTGAATTGGCACACTTATCATTCATTCATGCCACATAAAACACATTTAAAACTTGGTGGTTGATCACATTTTAGGAAATGACCACCTATCTTCATGGATCGATTCCATGTCTCGGGATGCTTTCCACCATATTGTTTCACTTCACTCCAAGATCACATAACTAACAACTTGGTTACATAAACCAAAGTGTAGTATCTTGCAAGCACCATAATTGAAACTCAACCAAACCAAGTTGGTTCAATGATCACAAACGGGTTATCGATCATGGCATCTTTAATTAACCAGAATCGCAATCCAAACTGATCATATAGAGGAACCGTAATTCCTTTCTCCTTCCTCCAACGGCAGAAACAGAAGAAATATATATGGACTCTCCAAGTCTCTATATATATCACACACAACATATATATGTATGCATAAACTAGGAAAATAATTCCTTTGCAGGGATACGTACCTGTAATCCTTTTTTCCCCCTCTTTGCTGGCGATAAAAGAACAAACATATATATACAGTATATATACCAATCTAGCCAATTAGAAATAGGAAAACACTACACAATTCCTTTCTAATAAACCGCACAAGTATCAAATAGAATCCTAGAGATGGACCAATCAAAAATTTCGAAATGCAATTCTGCTTTTTAACCCAAGCAAACTTACTATTCCAATTTTCCCTCCGAAGCATGCAACGTTTCAGACCCAACGTATGCACCATTTCGGTCTAAAAAATTCAAACTGATGCTAAAAAGATTAGATATAAAGAAACCGAGTCCGTTAATCAACCAACAAATTGATCACCAACCAGATTGGTAAACCAATTTATCCAGGGACAGAAATATATCAATTTCATTGATATTTAAGGAACCGGAAATTCCTTTCTTAGACAGTAAAAATCATATATCCATAAATTGTTCAAACAACAAACTGATGAATAATCAGGTTCACGGCATAATTTTCTTACGCAAGCCAATCAGATTTCTAACATGATAGAAAGGACGTACCTTTCCGACGTGACGATACCTCAAATGTCGGACACCAACGAACACAACAAGACATCGAGAACCACACTTTTTCGAATCAGAAGCATACGCCTTCAACGTACGCTCCATTCCAAAATCCATTTTTCCACTAGCAAAATAACACTCTAAGATTGTCAGGGAAACGATATGGAGAGAATCAGATTGAAGGCGTGATTAATCACTCTCCTTAGAGTGTTATTTGCCCCCACTACAAATTGCTGGTAGGCTCGAGCAAACCACCCCCAGGAGTCCCTTCAATTTTAAGTCTGGAAGCAGCAATCTTGCAGACTTCTGTGTTTGTGAAATAGAGAAGGAAAACCGGAAGAAGAAGTAATCTCTCGTCATCAAAAGAGTTATGGCAATCACATATTTATAGTTGTGAAATTTGGAAGTTACTTTCCCGAAAGGACACATCCTTTCACATAAAAGGTAGTTACTTTCCCGAAAGGACACATCCTTTCACACAGAAGGGTAGTTACCTCTCCCGAAAGGACACATCCTTTCATAGTATTCAAACGTTAATTAATTAATATAAAAAATTAATTAATTAAACTGCCAAAAGGCTCAATTCTTAAACTTTCCTTCTCCCATCAATGTGGTATTACAACTCTATTGACTAACTCTAACAGTGGATTCATCATTCATGGATTAAATGGATTGGTGGATTCATGGATTGGATCAAGTGTATTGGTGCATTATTCATGAATCCAAATGACAACCTCAATCAAGGACCAATATATAAAATGTGAAAAATTTAGGTACTAAAATGTCATAATGAAAAATTTAAGTACCAAAACGTAATTTCTAATGATATTTTTCGTATAAAAAATTAAATTTTGGGTACCAAAATGTAAAATATAAAAAGTATAGGTACCAAACCGTAATTTGCCATTTGGATCCATGGATCCACCAATCCAATTGGATTTGGATCAAATGGATTGGATTTAAATGGATTAGATTAGGTGGATATTTTTAATGGGTTGGTGGATTGCCACCTCTACTTCCAATTCCCAATTTCAATTTCAATTCGAGATGGTCGTAACCTAAACTCGACTCTTCAGATTCCACATGTTGAGCCCATGCCCCACAAACGTAACCTTTTCGGAGTCGACATCAACTTCCCTGCCAGAGAACTCTTCGCTCTCTCAAAATCATACGCGTCGTTAGTAACCGAAGGCCCATCGTCCCTCCGCGGCTTCTCTGTGCGCAGAGAACACGCAAATCTCTTAGCTCAATCAATGACACCAGTGGCTGAAGGAAATAAAACTGAAATCCTGGAAAGACTTATCGATGACAAGAGGAACACTCTCCGGAGTGGAGCTCGAGCAGGTAGGGATGTCAATCCAACCCGTAACCATGGGTACCCTACCCTAGCGTAATCGGTCAACGAGGATAATTACCCGCTTTGACGGGTTAAGGGACGGGTACGGGTAATACCCGGTTTCGAAATAAAGGGTAGGGTACGGGTATGGTAATCGATAATACCCGCCCCGTTATACCCGCCCCTTTAACCAAAGGCCATTTTCCCTCGAGAAATTTAGATTAGTTTGAGAAATTGAGTTTAGCTACCATTATTGACGATGACGATGTAGACGATTATTATGTTTGTGTGGATTGTAGAAGCAAGAACAATTATTATGTGTTTGCTATTTTTATTTGTGTGGATTGTAGAAGCTAGAACAGTTACAAGTATTGAGAATTTTTAATGGACAACAGTATGTATGTGCATATATGTGTATAAGTTCATAGTTTAGGATTCGTACCCATGGTTACCCGAATACCCATGGTTACCCGATGGGTAGGGTATGGTTATATAATTTTCATACCCGGTGATTATTTGATCGGGTATTTTAGAAGGCTCTACCCGGCGGGTTAGGAGTTAGTATAGGGTAAACCCGCACCCGACCCTACCCATTGCCATCTCTACGAGCAGGTAACCTGAACCCTAACGAAAGAGCGGTTACGAGTAGCTTCTCTTGGTTTGGATATGAAGGCAAAGCTCGAAGAAAGAGAGGATTTCAAACCCTGGACGGCGGAAACCATCTTTGATCGCTATTGCTGCTCTGAAATCGGATGAGATTTCGTCGAAATACGCCAATTCATCACCGGGCTCGAATTTGTCTATGTTGAATTGGCCGGTGCGAGTTGCTCTTAGGGTTCGTGTTCTCCGAGGAGGATAGAGACTCCAGCTTGGCGTCGATTCTCCCCTGGCTGCAGAGACAGGGGCTTTAGCGATGGCGTTGTGGGAGGTTTGGAGGAGGAAGGAGGAAGGGGCGGTGGTGAATTTGGGGAAAGAAGGAGGAGGAAGGCTGGAAGGGAGAAGATTTGGGTCAAGTTTAAATGACGTGGCGTGTTCGAATTTTTATTTTTATTGGGTTAAATTTGACTGAATAGGTGATTCCGTTTGCCACGTCTGTAGTTAACGAACTCTATTAACGAAGTTGGACGGAGACTAATAGAGAGTGACTAAACATGTCATGTTTTACTAAACTTAGTGACCATGATTGATATTAATTTTTTCTAATACTAAACATGACACGTTTTAGTACACTCATTTATCAAACTTGGCATTTATCCTAAAAAAATGAATTGATTTTTTAGTTTTACGGCACCAAAGTCCAAAAGAGAAAAAATGCAATTACCGAAAGAAAGGAAAAATTGTGCATGTAATCCGCGGTTCAACTTGAAAGTAAAAACCGGGACAGAAGTGAATATCAAACAGAAGTACAGAACAGAACCCTGTTTGGAACTCAGAACTCAGAACTCAGAACTCGGAGATAGATCCCAACACGCAAAGGAGAGAGAGATGACGACGATACGGCGGTTCTGTTGCAACGACCTTCTCCGCTTCGCTTCCGTCAACCTCGACCATCTCACTGAAACTGTAAGATCTCTCCCCCTCTGCCCAATCCCTGCTTTCCTTTTTCCAACTCCATTCTACCAATTGATTTCCTCACAGCAATGGCGTCCTGCTTTCGTAGTTTAACATGTCATTTTACATGACCTACTTGGCGAGATGGCCCGATTATTTTCACGTCGCCGAAGCCCCCGGCAACAAAGTCATGGGATACAGTGAGTCGCTTTTATACCCCTTTCAATTCTCACCCTCAAAACGCTGCTGCAATTCAACCGAGTTCGTTTGGTTCTTTCTACCTGCAGTTATGGGGAAAGTGGAAGGACAAGGCGAGTCCTGGCACGGCCATGTGACTGCGGTTACGGTGGCCACGGAATTCCGCCGGCAGCAATTGGCCAAGAAGCTTATGAACCTGCTGGAAGATATCAGCGACAAGATGTAAGGATTTCCTTTTCCCCCAACCCTTGTTTTCTTCCCAATTTTTATTTTGGCAGCCCAATTGATAGATTACTCATTCTGATGCAAGATTCTGTTACCAAGGAGCTGCTATCAAGTAGTGTCAAGTGTTAGTTAAGAAGAATTTGCCTTGTGGATGAATTCGTTTTGCAGTTTGCACGATATGGACTGGTGACATCGATCGTGCCTGGGATTGTTGTCTACAACTTCTGTTTGAATTGTTGTTCTTTATGTGGTGGCATTGAATGATGTGATATATGATGATTGTGTGCAATTTCAACCTCGATGTCAATAACGTGATATGAAGTTTGTTCAATGACTAATTGATTGTTCCAGAACTCATGTTGTCTCGAGATGTTTCCTCAATCCTTGCTGTTTTCCCCCCAATTAGTAGTGCAGCTCTGCCTATTGATGAAAAGGCTCATTGAAAGTTTTTTTGTTCTATACCTTTGCTTCTTTTTGGAGTATTTGTGTTATTCGTGATTTTAACAAGAGGTTTGCTTCAGTGATAAGGGGTACTTCGTGGATCTTTTTGTGAGAGCTTCAAATACGCCTGCGATAAAGATGTACGAGAAGGTAATAGTTTCGTCACTTCTGATGATATTTATGAAGTGTCATGCACTAAGTTTGTTAACAAGCCTTCTCATTCAATTTTAGATAGACACAGCATTCATCCAAGTTCAGCAGAATCAAGTAGTAACTTTCACAGCTCTGTTGGGTTACTTATTTAAATCCAAACTATAGTCAATCAGTTGCTAGGAATTCAGTTCAGCTCTGATGATGATAACTACCACATATCAAACTTCTTCTGATATGTAATGTTAGCTCCTTGAAGTCCTCTTGCAATTGTGTTTCTCCACTATTCTCTAGTATAATCTTCTCATTAGGCGACGACGAATTTTCCTGTGGCAAGAAGGTGTCATTGTGTCTGGATTAGTGAGTTTGACTGGAAAATAACAGCAGGTTGTTTTCAGTAGATTTCTACAGGAACTAGGTCCCCGGTTCTATTTCATTGTCTAATAGAGGATATGAGACTGTTATTATCCTCTCACTTTCTGAGTAATACTCTCTGGCTAACATTCACGTAAGAGAATACCGGGAACAACGAAGTAATTTGGACCAGTTAAGACAACTAACCTGATGCTAACTCAATGCATGTGTTTATGTTGCAGCTTGGATATATAATCTACAGACGGGTGCTTCGCTACTACTCTGGGGAGGAAGATGGCTTAGGTAAGCATTTTTGAGATCATGCTGAAGTATCTCACCAAGTTCCTTGTTATTTTCCCCGGATTATGTCTCAACGTGTAATTCTATCTTTTTGTGGTAATTTTCAGATATGAGGAAAGCGTTATCTCGTGATGTGGACAGGAAATCAGTCATCCCTCTCAAACGACCTATTACTCCCGACGAACTGGAGTACGATTAAGTATCAAAGTGCTGATGCAGTAGCTTAATCTGTTGAGCTTGACAGCAGTGGAAGAAGCTACTCTGTGATATATAGATTGATTCTGGTAACTTATTTGGTTTGATGCTTGGTGAAATCCTATTTCAGATATTCCTGAGGCCGTCGTCTGGCTAGAAAGTGGTGGGACTTGAGACAGTTGTTGTGTAGAAGTGTTAGAAACCGGCGGGTTGGGCCGGTCGGGTGAGGGGAGTGGCAGTTTCGTTATTTTCATTATTTCTGTTTTGTATTTAAGAGGAGAGAACACTATTCTGCAGATTAGTGAATAATCAATATTACAATCAAAATCCCTAAATTCCCAATTCTCTCTATATCTTGTTCTTCCTCAATTCTTCTCAAATCCCTAATTTCTTCTCTTCTCAATCCCTAATTCCCTTGTGGAACTTCTTTGTTTCTAACATTTGGTATCAGAGCCCCGTTCCGATCTGTGAGTTCTTCCCAACTCCATCAGGGACAGCTTAGAAACCAGAGAATCAGCGATGGAAAAATCAAAACTGTCATGGGCTCAGAAGCAAGAGAGGCTGTGGCAAATTGCGAGCTATTGGAAGGAGGAGGCGAGGGCGGCGGCGTTCGGGCAGGCCGGCCGAGGCGAGGAGGGCGCCGCGCGGCAGGAGGCGGCGCGGGGCAGAGCCCGATCGTCGGGGCTGGCGGGGAAGCGCGCGACTTGCGGAGGAGAGCGAGGCCGAGGGCGGCAGCGCCGGAGGTGGCTGGGTCGCGGGCGAGGAAGGAGGGGAGTCGACGGCGATTTCCCTACACTCTGTAGCTGGGATTTCGTCGCCCGGAACCCTGAGGTTTCGAGCAAAGGTGGCTGGGCAGCAGGGTCTCGTCCTCGTTGACAGTGGGGCATCGTTGAATTTTATCGGGGAGGACTTTGCTAAGACCTTACAGGTGGCAGCGAGTCCGACGAAACCGGTGGTGGTAAGAGTGGCTAATGGCGCGCCGATGCGGTGCGTCGAGGTGTACAGGGAGATGACTATGGAGATCCAAGGCCTCGAGATCACCACCGACTTGTATGTATTGCCTCTGCGAGGGTTCGATATCATTCTTGGTATACCCTGGCTGCAGAGCTTGGGACCTATCACCAGTGATTGGAGGAGTCTGACGATGTGCTTCAAGTGGAGGGACAAGGAATGGAGGTTGAGAGGCCTGACCACAACCATTGGGCCGGTGGAGATGGAGGAGTGCGCGAAGGGGGAGGACACCGAGCTCGCTGTCCTATGCTGGCCTCTCTCCGCAGCAGGGAAGACGGAGATTGATGGGGAGATACAGGAGCTGTTGGATCGGTATCCCGAGCTATTCCGGGCGCCAACCACGCTCCCGCCCCATCGTCAGGTCGATCATCAGATTTGTTTGAAGGAAGGTGTGGAAGCAGTGAATGTGAGGCCATACCGTTATGGGCACTCACAGAAGGGGGAGATCGAGAAGCAGGTGGAGGAGATGCTCGCTACCGGGCTGATTCGGCCTAGTACCAGTCCTTTTTCTTCGCCGGTACTGCTGGTTAAGAAGAAGGATGGGACGTGGAGATTCTGCACAGACTACCGGGCTCTCAACAAGGCGACCGTGAAGGATCGGTTTCCGATCCCGACAGTGGATGACATGCTAGATGAACTACATGGGTCGAGCTATTTCACTAAGCTCGACTTGAGAGCCGGTTACCACCAGATCAGGATGCAGGAGGATGATGTGCCCAAGACAGCATTTCGCACCCATAATGGCCATTATGAGTATTTGGTCATGCCATTCGGGCTGTGCAATGCTCCTTCGACATTCCAGGCTGCCATGAACGACATTTTTCGGCCTCTCCTGAGACGGTATGTCTTGGTATTTTTTGATGATATACTGGTATATAGTCCTACTTGGGAGGACAAATTGAGACATTTGCAGGAGGTGTTTGAGATTCTTCGGAGGCATCAGTATTATGTCAAGGCCTCCAAGTGTGCGTTTGGGGTGCAGAAGGTGGATTATCTGGGTCATGTGGTGACGCCTCAGGGAGTACAGGTGGACCAGACCAAGATCCAAGCCATGGTGGACTGGCCTGTACCCACCAATGTGACCGAGTTGCGTGGCTTCCTGGGATTGACAGGGTATTACCGGAAGTTTGTGCAGGGTTACAGTATGATCGCGAGGCCTCTGACGGACCTGCTGAAGAAAGGGGGTTTCGGGTGGTCACCGCAGGCAGAGGAGGCATTCCAGAAGCTGAAGGAGGCGATGTCCACGACCCCCACCCTGGCCATGCCGGATTTCTCGAAGACGTTCGTGATTGAGGCCGACGCCTCTGGTCGCGGTATCGGGGTAGTGTTGTCTCAGGATCGACATCCCATTGCCTTCATGATCAAGACTCTACCACCCTCGAAAGAGGCCTGGTCGACATATCAGAAGGAGATGCAGGCTATCATAACAACAGTACAGACTTGGAGACCGTATTTGTTGGGCCAGAAGTTTCACATCTATACAGATCATCAGAGTTTGAAGCATCTCCTGGAGCAGAGGGTGTCGACACCAGACCAACACAAGTGGATTTCGAAGTTGCTGGGGTACGACTACGAGATTCACTACAGACCGGGACCCACCAATGTGGTGGCGGACGGCCTATCCAGGAGGCCGGGAGGAGAGGTTCTCACGGCGGTGACCGGGCCCGTGCCGGAGTTCTGGGATGAGCTCCGTACCTCTTTGGAGACCAGTCCGTATCTGCAGAGCTGCCGGGACATTGCTGTGAGTGACGAGCCGGGTCGCTACCAGTTCAGACAGGGGCTAGTACTTTTCAAGGGCCGGGTGGTCCTTCCGCCGGGGTCAAACCTGGTCACTACAGTGCTGATGGAGTTTCATGACTCGCCGCTGGGGGGTCATTCGGGCGTGGAGCGGACTCTACGACGGATTCGGGCTCATTTCTACTGGCCCCGCATGGCGGATGACGTGAAGAGCTACGTGGCATCCTGTGACACCTGTCAGAGGGTAAAGCTATCCCATCTGAGACCTGCAGGGTTGTTGCAGCCGCTACCGGTACCGGAGCGGGTTTGGGAGGACATCAGCATGGATTTTATAGTGGGACTCCCTCCCTCAGGCGGCAAGACTGTGTTGTTCGTGGTGGTGGACCGTCTGACGAAGTATGCTCACTTCATGCCCTTGGCTCATCCGTACACGACAAGGGCAGTGGCTGAGCAGTTTGTATCAGGAGTGGTGCGGCATCACGGGTTCCCTCGCTCTATTGTGAGTGATCGGGATTCAGTCTTCTTGAGTCAGTTCTGGCAGGAGGTCTTTGCTATGGCCAAGACGGCATTGAAGATGAGCTCGGCCTATCACCCGCAGACGGATGGCCAGACGGAGATCGTGAATAAACATCTGGAGCAGTATCTCAGGTGCTTTGCCCACCAGCAACCCAAGAGCTGGTTGGCCATGATCCCATGGGCTGAGTTATGGTATAACACCACATACCACAGGGCTATTCGGATGTCACTCTTTGAGGCTCTGTACGGGCGAGCCCCGCCGTCTCTAGTACGGTACAGGCTGGGTGATAGTTCGGTGGATGCGGTGGACAGGTGGTTGGGAGCGAGGGATGAGGCGCTAGAGCAGCTGCGTAGCACGTTGGCGGCGGCCAATAACAGGATGAAGCAGTTGGAGGATGCGGGTCGGCGGGAGGAAGAGTTCGAGGTGGGTGATTGGGTGTTACTGCGACTGCATCCCTATCGACATGCCTCAGTCTTCCGGCGCGCCTATCAGAAGCTGGCTGCTCGCTATTTCGGGCCCTACGAGATTCTGCAGAAGGTCAACCCAGTGGCATATCGTCTGCAGCTGCCGGCAGAGTCTCGCATTCATCCCACCTTCCATGTTTCATTGTTGAAACGCTACAGGGGAGCAGCAGACAGAGTCGAGACGACTGCCCCGCCGGTCAGTGCGGATGGTGACCTTGAGCTGGAGCCGCTGAAGGTGCTCGAGACTAGGTGGGTGAAGAAGAAGGGACGGCTGGTGGAGGAAAGCTTGGTGCTTTGGAAGCATTTGGAGCCGGAGGACGCGACTTGGGAGGAGACCGGAGACTTGCAGCAGAAGTTTCCGAACTTTGACCTTGAGGACAAGGTCAGGCTTGAAGAGGGGGAGGATGTTAGAAACCGGCTGGTTGGGCCGGTCGGGTGAGGGGAGTGGCAGTTTCGTTATTTTCATTATTTCTGTTTTGTATTTAAGAGGAGAGAACACTATTCTGCAGATTAGTGAATAATCAATATTACAATCAAAATCCCTAAATTCCCAATTCTCTCTATCTCTTGTTCTTCCCCAATTCTTCTCAAATCCCTAATTTCTTCTCTTCTCAATCTCTAATTCCCTTGTGGAACTTCTTTGTTTCTAACAAGAAGCTTACAAAGCAGTCCCCTATTGTTGCTCCTCTCTTTAGCCATAATAATGCCTCGTACGAGTGCTTAACAAGGGAAAATCATAAATGGTAGCAACTCAATGTCTGTGCTTTATTCATTATTCGGAGAATATCAAACCCTGTAAACTTGTTATCCACAACGGCTGGTGGCCTCATCTTTAAGCTGTGAGTTAATACTGGTTGTACTTGTATTTTCTTTGGCAGAACTAATTCTACCTGTTTAAGTAATTCTACCTGCTTAAGTTTGTGGTTTTGATCCTCGGGTATATCATAAGAGGGTAACGAATAACGAGTGATTTTTTGTGTATATACAAGGTTTAGAAAGTATAGTTATACATGTTGGAAATGTGTATGAATAGCTTTGAAAGCTATAGAGTCTCAAGTGGAAAAACTACCACATTGGTAGTTTTACTTGGTGAAATGAGTATAAAGATAGGAGCCTCTCTCCTAAGGGCATGCCCCTTGGGGTGACCCACTTTTGTGGGAGAGGGAGGACCTAACGGACCACCACACACGCGCCGTCCGTCCGTCCGTCCGTCCGACCGGACGGTCGGTTGGATGGATGGATGGATCACTTGAGACTATATATACATATTTTTTGGAGAAATTCCGAATGAAATTAATTATTATATAATTAATTATTAATCAGTTATTCTGAGGAATATTCTAAGGGATAATCGATTGAAAAGGAATATTCCTAGGGGTTCGGCTCCTATAAATAGCCGCCTCCCCAGCCCCTCTAAACACACCAGAACGAGCATAAACACAATAGAGAGAGTGTTCAGAGAGCTCTGGTTTTCGCACAAAACCGCGAGTACACAGAGGAGCTGTTTTATCCTGGAGACGACCGGTTGATAGTCTGCCGTGCGCATCGAGGGCAGTGCCGCGAACGTCTTAAAGAGAGCGACCTAGTCCGCGACTCAGCTCCAGATTCGGTATCCTCGGTCT